TAAATATGTCTCAGAATGTGCTGATGAACTAGTATAGGCTAAAAATATAGATGAAAACGCAGACTTACTTTGCTCTGCTTTAAGCTTCAGCTCAGCTATAGCTGCTTTTCTCACATCTCCGGCAGGAAACTTTTCCACAAAAGCAGAACAGTTTCTTGTAAAGTGTCTCTCAACGTTTGACTTTTTAGGAGGCTGAAGTCATTTAAGGTAAATGGGACAGTTTGAATGAGAAACTGCCTAAATATTTGTGACCTTTTAGTGTTTGACAGTTTCTCACTGCAGATTAAACGGATCAGGAAACCAGCTGGAGTGATTATAAATGCAAAAAAGTCAATTCATCTCCAAAATATTGATGCTCGTCTTAAATCTGGGGGGGTGGGGGTATAAGGGGGACAGATAGTTAGTTCAGTACCAACATTCCCAGATTACCGTAGGACAGATCTGCGCCTTATTCTAACAGGAAAACAAATTAACCGAAGGCTCGACTAAACAGGTAAGTTTTTAGCCTAGACTTAAAGATGGATATTGACCAAATCTTTTTTCAAATACATTTATTTTAAAATGTATGGGGAAATATTACACATACAACAATAAATGTATGTAAATTAGTTTATCACATACATTTGAAAATGAATGAAAGTAGCCAGAATACTGTCTAATGCACTTTGGAACCAATTTGTTCCTGAATTTGTATCCCAGTATCTTAATTTTAAATATTAGCAAATGAAACCTTAATATGGCAAAAGCAAGTGTTGTAGGTATTGATACTCTGTGAAAATGCAGTTATGATTTGATATCTTCTTTATATGAAACACATTTTGTATGAGTGTCTAACCTCATACATACAATGATTAAGTACAATTTAAAGCACAGAAGTCAGTTCCATTCATTCAGCTCATGTATATTTATAACCTTTTTTAAAACTACATACAATTGAAAAATATGATAACAAATACAAAACGTATATTTGTACTATAAAATATATTTAACACATACATTTTGGTAAGTTAAAATATATTTGATAAATACATTTGGAATGTATTTTTTTTCCATATGGGTTCCCTCATGTCTTTGGCCATGTGCTTCTGTTTCCTTGCACCTCCCTTTGCCTTTCCCTTCACCTGTCTCTTGTCTACAGCCCCGCCCTCTCATCAGCCCCAGGTGTTTCTCTTTGTTCTCTGTGTATTTATACCACTTGTTTATGACCTGTCCCTTGCTTGGCATTGTTTGCTATGTTCTCAGATTCTCAGACAGTTTGCATGTTTATTTCTATGTATTTTGTTCTCTGATTGGTTCTGTTAGTGGTTCTTTTAGTTTCTTTAGCACTTTTTTATTTTTACTTTGTTTCTGCTCTTTTCTTTGCTGCTGCTATACCATGGACAACAGTTAAACGCCCAGCTCACACTTACATCCTGCCCCTTCGTCTCCTTTCTATCCCACCATGTCACACAATCATAGAAATCTTACTAAGTCGTAGCCATACGTCTTGCTAAGTCATGGCCACGACTTAATTATCTCATTCCCACTCCTTACTAGGTCAAGGCCATACATTAGGATCTCAGTCTCATACCTTACTAAGTCATGGCCACAACCTAATTATCTCGTTCCCAAGACACTAAGCAATATAACACAGAACATTCTATGAGACAAAGATATACAGAGGACTATACACTAGTGTTATATTGCACGCCATTAGATGAAGTGCAGGTTTTAGCAGCATGGGTCATGTGAAAGATAAGAGTTCAATGTTTTATGTGTTTAATGTGGCAATGGTGCATGTTTTGGCCAGCCTGTAGCGCCTGCCAGAGAGCAACAGATCAAAGAGGTGGTGACCAGGGTGTGTGGAGTCTTTGATAGTATTGGCAACCCTGCTAAGGTAGTGCCTGGTGGCGATAGCCTCAAGGGAGTTGTGATGAGGCAAACGCATTTCCCATCACCAGAGACTGTGTATGTGTGTGTATGTAATACCTACCTGAATACCTACCTGTAATACTCACCTGTTGTCTGTTTCCTAGCAGAGTCAGCAAAGAGGAGGAAGAGCAGAAGGTGCTCACTCGTGAGTGTGCCGGAGGGCCCACGGCTAGCTCATGGGAGGGGTGATGTCTCCAACCTAGGTCCCAGAAAACAAAGTGAGACAGGTTAATAAATGTGCGCACTGTAATGGAACATCTTTTACCGGTAAGATAATATATTAAGGCCTTATGACATTGATTGTGATTTTATTTACCTTTCTTTTAACCCACTCTTAGAGAACAGCAACACCCCTGCAGAGTGGAATGGTTTGGCTTGATGGTACTCACCTCAGACTGAGAGGTAGCTGAGGGAAATGGAGTAGAGCAAGCTAGAAGTGTAGTTCTATGGCTTTGTGGCCTAGGACTAAATAAATTTGTGTCTCCTCGCGGGGTTCGGGGGATGCGAAGCATCGTCACAGGAGGGCAGCGGGCGGTCAGTGATTTTCACTGCTGTTTTTACCACCCTGTGCAATGCCTTCCAGAGCAGCCTGCACACCATAGTGAGATACAGTAGGATAAAATACTCTCAATGTTAGCTCTGTAAAAGGCCACCAGCAGCTTCTTCTCCATGTTGTTCCACTTGAGAGCTCACAGAAAAGTCTCTGCCGTGCTCTCTTGACAGTTGCTATAGTGTTGGTCGACCAGGAGAGATTCTCAGAGATAAGGAATGGCAATTCTGCACCCTCTCTACACAAACCCCATTTATACAGAGCGGGGCCAGGTCTGCTCCACGTTTCCTCCTGAAGTCCTTTAGTCTTTGTGCTGTGCAGTTTCAGGTTATTCATTGAAAACCACACATAGTCTGTACCGCTCATCCTTGTATGCTGACTCATCTCCCTTTGAAGTGTGATTAGCAAACTTAATAATGGGTGAGCTGTTGAACAGTCATACATGTAGAGTGAGTAAAGCACTGGACTCAGTATTTAGCAGATCTAGACTCGTCCCTTTAAATAAAACTAACTATTTTTTCTCTTTTTCCTCGTCAGTTTGTATAAGACAGACCAAAGTGCCTTAACATGATCAACAGAAAACCAAGCGCAGTGCGCCATCTGGTGCTCATGAAGAGCAATAGCATTTATTCTAAAAATGAAAGTGTCTCTCACAACAACCCATGCTTATGTTTCAGATAAATAACTAACATCTAAAGGTTTTAAATGTTTAAATGTACAGCATGTAGAAAACAGTATTTTTCCGGCTAAGCCCACTGTAATTACACCTTCCCTTAAAAAGGCATCATTATAATACTTCAGAAATCATATTATTATTATTTTTGCTTTAATGTGTGCCTCTGTTTAACATATCCTCTATTATATTCCGTCATTATAGGTTATGAAAAATCTACATTTTATTTGTGTCCTTCAGCCCTGATACCTGAACTCATTCACCCCAATGAAACATCTGGAACATTCCACAAAGCACGTTTAACAGGTTTTTGCATCATTTAAATTTCCTGAAGATCATGAGAAGAAGAAAAGTCCTCTCAATGTTTTCTCTTTTTCAGTGATACTGTAATACTGACTGACTAACGATCACTGATGTGGAGTTTCTGTTTGACTCCAACTCAGTGTGTATCAAGAAGGTTTAAAACAGCCAGTCTTTAAACTGCCCATCAAAAGTTTGGAAGCAACTGGTCTTTTAAAATGTTTTAACACAAATGGTCATCTCTTCTTTCCAATAACCAGCAGAGATCGCAGAAGCCTAAACTTATACACAAGTTAGTTTTGTTACTCAGATGCTAAAATGCTAAATGCTTAATAAAGTGCTAAAGCTCCAAAGTGAGAGGTGATCAAGGTAAAGCAGAACAACAGAATGACATTAAATCCTGAAAAAAACAACAACTAAATATTAATGACAAATTAAGACGGAGGCCCACAGCCTCACATCCATTAATTATAAGGGACAAAATTAAAATAGTCCCTTTTCAATATTTTAATGTTGTTGGATTTGTGGTGATATGTTGTAATCTGACTAGTGCTCTAAAACGTGTGTCAGGTATACTATGCAGAACTACGACCCCTAATTCTGGGTGACCTTTATGTAACCCATACAGTGGATTTTGTTCAGTTATTTCAACTGTACAAGGAGAAATCCACCAATCTAATTGTCTAGCTAAGGCTCCCGTCCACAAAGGATTATCTTTTTCGCAGACGTATACCTCATATCTTCTATTTCTACTGTCATTTTTCCATTATTGACTTTAGTGTATAAAATCCATGTGTATTTTCTTTATCTCTCTGTAGGGAAAACCATTCATTCATTCCAGTCCAGATCTGCCTTTTTCATTTTTGCTACTGTCTCTGTCTTACAACTGGGAAATCGAAATTCGAGATTCTGTGCTCTGCGTGCCAGTATAGCCGGCTTTCTTCTGAGAAATGCTCTAGAATCCTGGGGGTTTAATGGATTTACTCTGTCTACCAGTATAGATGTGACCTACTCTCTTTCCCACTCTACTATACATTTAACAATTTTTATTCAAGTGTTCAACTCTCTGCACCTTCTACCACGTTCATCAATCTCAAGAGGTCATACTGGTTCAGGTTCAGGTAGTCTAAACCCTGAATCTGTTAGATCTAGTGTAGCCTCAGAGGGCACCTGTGCAGCCAACTATGCAGTCAGGACAGGGTTTAACAATGCTACTGTCCAAATCTTTTTCATTCTCTCTTGTAGCCTATGAGAAGAAATAACCCATAAGACGAAATAACATCGCCCAAGTTATCCCACTCAGTTAATGACCACAATTTCTTATTAATTATCCCTTGATAGCCACTGTTCTTTTCCCTCCATAGCTCTATAAGTTTGCTCAAGACAAAAGAATTCCCTGGGTCTCTCTTATTAGTCTCTAGTCAATTTATACGAAATTTCATCATAAGCCTTACTTTCTGTTGGTTCTAATCCAGACGGGTTTCGGCAGCAGATTACGTTGCGAAAAAATATCTCAGCGGCTTTGCTCCAGACACAGAACTCAAATAAAACTCAAAACGCCAGGACTGGCAGGAAAAAGCACAAATTCTTTTATTGAAGATTAAGGCTTTCCAGCATCAAGCGTTAATCTCAAGTTGGCCCAGACACAACTGACAAACCCACAAAAATCCATGCGTTTTATACTCTTTGAAAAAAAAAGTTTGAAATATTTGGGAGGGGCAAGGATGAGCCAAGTGTTGACCCCTCCTTGCCCTTCCCAAATATTTCAAACTTTTTGGATTTGCACACCATTATCTCCAAAAGTCACCATCATCATGACAACCCTTATTTCCAAACCAAGAAGTAATATCTTTTTTAAAATGATCGCAGGCCAAGGCCGCTCTCAGGCCTAAGCCGTCAGGCTTTATTTGCTTCATCTATTATTCTGAAATTATATGTTTTTTTAATTTATTTCTGCCACAGAAATAAATGTTTTGTGACATAAACAGATTCCAGCTGTACGTGTGTCCCATCAAGTCACAGCCTTTGATAAGGCCACATCGTCCCAACACCTCATGGCCACCCATAGACAAACATACAGCAACAAATGCTCATCCACAGCTAAAGCCATATAGCACTTATATATGAACAGTTATGATTCAATTCATCTATTACTTAAACAAACTTTGCACAATCTTTTATATTTGTATGATCAAAAAATCTCCCATAGTTAGGCTGCTGTCCAAAACGGTGCTGCAGCTTGCTTAGTCCCTTAGCTCCACGCAGCAGTGGGAATCCATGTAGAGAACCTTAGCCTGGCTACATCCCTTCATGAGGTCAGCTGCCATTAGTTCTAGACCTGGTCCCTCCTCAGCAGTAAGAACACTGATGAGGATTTGACCAATCTTGCTGCCCACAGAGGTCAGCTAGAGCACCATCTCGGCACTGTTGATGACCCGCTGCAGGGCGTGTCTCTCTGCAGTGGTGCAGCTGGTGTGCCAAATTGAAATGCAGTAAGTGAGAATGCTTTCAATACTGCAGCGGTAGAAGGTGACAAGCAGATCACTGTTGAGATTTACTTTCCTGAGTGATCTCAGAATGTAGAGTCGCTGTTGTGCCTTCTTCACCTCTGCTGTGGTGTTGACAGGCCAGGATAAGTCCTCAGATGTGTGCACACCCAGGAACGTGAAACTGGGATCTCTTTCTGCCACCATTGATGAAGAGTGGAGCATGTCCATCCCTGCCTTTCCTGAAGTCGAGGATGAGCTCCTTGGCTTTGCTGGTGTTAAGAACTAGGCTGTTGTCTGAACACCATATGGCCGGGCGCTGTACCTCCTTTCTGTAGGCAGACTCATCAATGCCTGGATTAGGCACATCACTGTGGTGTTGTCTTCATACTTGATGATGGTATTTGTATTGTGGACAGGAATGCAGTCATATGTGAAGAGAGAGTACAGAAGTGGGCTTAGTACACAGCCCTGAGGAACACCAGTGCTCATTGTCAGTGGGGAGGACTGGTATGTCCCCAGCCTGACTGACTGAGGGCGAATGGTCAGAAAGTCCAGTATCCAAGTACAGAGGTGCTGACTGAGGCCCAGGTTCTGAAGCTTGGGGGCCAGTTTTTGGGGGATTATTGTGTTGAATGCTGCACTATAATCAATAAACAGCATTCAAACATGTGTTGAGGTGCTCAATGCGGTGTGAAAGGCTGTGGAGGATCAAGAGCAGCTGGAATGATAATTTAATGTATGTCTGGACTGTTCCCTCAAAGCACTTCATTGCAATAGGAGTGAGTGCAACTGGACGGAACTCATTGAGGCGTTTGGCGACTGTTTACTTTGGTACAGGAACAATGGGTGGAGTCTTAAGGCGTTTAGGAATGACAGCCAGTGATGGAGACATGTTGAAGATACTGGTGAATGGCTGCAAGCTGAGCTGCGCAGGCTTTGAGCTCTTTTGGCTTGCTTGATGCCCTTTTTTCAGGCACATTAATAGAGTGAAATTATTGTTGCACTTTACTCTTTTGACCTTTTTTCTTTTTGAAATTAAATTGAGATTAATTAGTGTATTTACTGATTCATTACAGCAAATTAAATAAATACATAAAAAAACAATGAGCAAGTGGTCTTGGGTGGAGAAAACTTCTTCAGAGGACACACGCAGCTTTCCGGTCACCGTGGGTCCACTCTGTGCCCAGGTGAAGGGAGAAATGCTCTTGCATTTACGTTTACATATGTATGAGACTGGCCCAGGTAGAGAAGTGTAGAAGGATGACCTTGGTAGAGAGATGCAGGAGACTGGCCCTGAAGAAGAGGTGCAGGAGGCTGTAACTGGTGGAGAGGTACAGAAGGCTAGCTCTGGCGGAGTGTTGCGGGAGGCTGGTCTTGGTGGAAAGGTACAGGAATCTGTAACTGGTGGAGAGGTGTTGCGGGAGGCTGGTCTTGGTGGAGAGGTACAGGAAGCTGTAACTGGTGGAGAAGTGCAGGAGGCTAGCTCTGGCGGAGTGTTGCGGGAGGCTGGTCTTGGTGGAAAGGTACAGGAATCTGTAACTGGTGGAGAGGTGTTGCGGGAGGCTGGTCTTGGTGGAGAGGTACAGGAAGCTGTAACTGGTGGAGAGGTGTTGCGGGAGGCTGGTCTTGGTGGAGAGGTACAGGAAGCTGTAACTGGTGGAGAAGTGCAGGAGGCTAGCTCTGGCGGAGTGTTGCGGGAGGCTCGCCTTGGTGGAGAGGTAGAGGAGGCTGTAACTGGTGGAGAGGTGCAGGAGGCTAGCTCTGGCGGAGTGTTGCGGGAGGCTGGTCTTGGTGGAAAGGTACAGGAATCTGTAACTGGTGGAGAGGTGTTGCGGGAGGCTGGTCTTGGTGGAGAGGTACAGGAAGCTGTAACTGGTGGAGAGGTGTTGCGGGAGGCTGGTCTTGGTGGAGAGGTACAGGAAGCTGTAACTGGTGGAGAAGTGCAGGAGGCTAGCTCTGGCGGAGTGTTACGGGAGGCTGGCCTTGGTGGAGAGGTGTAGAAAGGTGGGACTGGTGGAGAGGTGTAGAGGCCTGTCACCGGTGGAGAGGTGTAGAGGGCTGGCACCGGAGGAGAGGTGTAGAAGGCTGGCCCTGACAGAGAGAAAAAAAATGGGCTTGAATTAATAGATAATTCATTTGTTTTACAATATTTAGCTGCTTATTTTAAATTGTAACAAAAATGAGATACCACTGACTTTTTAACACTGACAGAGACTGCTAAATTCATCTGCTCATATCATCGCAATAATACAGTTTAGCTGGTAATTCGACCACAAAATAAATCCATGCTAATCATTATGAAAACACATTAAATGCATCCAAACCCAGAATTTATTGCAAAGAATGGCCAAGAGACATCAATTACTCTGTTTGGCTTAGCTTGTTCTGATAAAATGGGCTATAAATCCCTCAGTTTTTCTCTGGTTAAATTCAAATTTGGAAGTACTGTACAAAACAATTGCTTGAGGAAGCCTGCAAAGTGCTGATTAAATTGCTCTTCATGGGCCCCTACAATAGTTATTCTAATGCGAATTTACTTAAACAGCATTATTTCTTTCTACAATTGAAAAAAAGAAAAATAATGCTTTCAAACTACATATCTCATTAACATCTAAAACTGCAATCATAGGTATGTTTCAAAATTGCACAGGAAATATGGAAATTTTACTTAAACACATCTTGGCCACAGAATCAGGAAAGACAATTTATTTTCTGGCCACCAGAGGATTAGCATTAAATGCAAACTATGACTTTAAACGTACATACAGTCATAGGCTTTACAAGCTTTATCTTGTGGCACAGAAAGACTGATAGTACTTGGACCCCTATGATTGCCGCTTGCAGCAATATTTCTTTTTGTTCTGATTCTGCCTCAAAATGATATGGGCATACCAAACCCTAAGTTGTAGAGACATGAAACTTGGTCATTACATAGAACTCTGTGCCATTACAGATGCATTATCTAAGCCCTTATGGCCTCAAGGGAATGCTATAGTACACCCTAATGTATTTGGCCTTGTAACTCCTAAACTGTCATTTTTAGAGACAAAATTCTTATTATTCTTGATTTCTCAAAATGAGCTATTTTTCAATTTGGACAATTTAGTTCCACTGATTTAGATTTTTTGGCTAATTTGCATAATATGGGAAACCTACTTTTTAAAAGTACTCCTAGGTTTTTTCACTCAATCCTAATGTAACTGCTATCAAAATTCACAAGACCCTGTACCTCAATAATTATCAAAAACATATTGACTTTCGTAAGCAGTGTGGCTACCATATGCTAATTAACCATTCTGGATTATTCGGTGGCAGTGTTGCTGTTTTACTGTTATAACTTTCTATATACACTATATGGACAAAAGTATAGGGACATCTATACATTACACCTACAGGACCCTTAATGACATCTTAATCTAAATCCATAGGGAGTTGGTCCCTCCTTTGCAGCTATAACAGCTTCCACTCACTTTCTACAAGACTTTGGAGAGTGTCTGTGAGAATCTTTGCCCTCATCCAGAAGAGCATTTGTGAGATCAGACACTGATATTGGATGAGAGGACCTGATTAACAACCTCCATTCTGATTCATCCCAAAGGTGTTTGATGGGGTTGAGGTCAAGGTTCTGTGAGGACCAGTCGAGTTCTTCCACACCAAACTCACCCAGCCGGGCCTTTATGGAGCTGCTTTGTGCACTGGGGCTCAGTCATGCTGGAACAGGAAAGGTTCTTCCCCAAACTGTTCCCACAGAGTTGGAAGGGTACAATTATCTAAAATGTCTTGGTGCTGAAGCATTAAGATTTCCCTTCACTGGATCTAAGGGTTCTAGATCAAGCCCTGAAACACAGTTCTTTTGCTGATGTTGCTTCCAGAGGCAATTTAGTGAGCGCTTCAACGGAGGATAGGCAATGTGCGCTACAGCACTCGGCGACCCCAATCTGTGAGTTAGTGTGGTCTACCGCTTCGTGGCTAAGCTGTTGTTGTTCTTATCTAACCACTCTGAATGACGTGATTTACATAATAGGGTCATTGACATGATGTGCATTCTTTGTGTCCAAGTCCATTATTTTGGCAAAAAATAATTAAATATATGTCCATATATCAAATTATTCAACAATACCTTTTTTATGTGAAACAATTTTTAGTGCATCCATATAAAATTTATTTTAGGTTCTTTTTGCCTTAAAAACCATGCTACTATATATGTGGATTAACTGTCAAAAAAGGTAGTTAGTTATATAAACTTCAGTATAAAATAATTTGGCGTGATTTTTTGTTTGAAACCTTTAAAATGAAAGCCATGTTGTAAAAAAAGGCAACTTTAAAAGTACTTAACTCACTAAAGAACTTTGGTCTACAAGTTCTTACTTCGCCAAATGTCAGGTGACACGACCAAAAACAAAGTACTTTTATTTTCACATGCTTTTACAAAAGAGGGGCCAGGCAATTGCATTATTAAGAACACCCCAAGTGACCTTCATGGTGCAATGCCAAGGTCAGTGGCCCTTTCAAAAATTTTTGAATAAAGTCTTGGTTAGAACGGTTCGATTTACCATGTCAGGTGGTACGAGCTCAGGAAATCCATAGAAATTTTTATTTGAAAAAAAATTTAAGTATAACTTCAAGTTCAAGGACAAAAGTCAGGTGGCTCAACCAGTAATGTGCAATCAGACCAGCACAGTTTTAATAACTGAAATAGGCATCAAATGCTTTGATAACAATATTTAGGATATAAAATGCACATAGATATAAATGCAAATAAATGTGCAGGAAAAAAAACTGCACATCTTGCCCTTTTTGTTAAGTTTTTTTTTAATTCTCATTTTAAAAACCTCATTTGTCATTGACCCAGAAGCCAATTAACCGTGCAGAAATTCATGTAACATATAATATAATATCAACAGAATGTAAAGAAATAACAGTCTATGTATCGTGTTGAAGAGAAATCTACTGAGGTTAGCATGCTAACCAGTTAGACTCAGCCCACCCTGTCTTATAATACAACTTTAAATCTCAAGAGACAATAATGAGTCACTGCAACCTCTTATCAATCAGTTGAAGGTGCCACCCCAGGTTAAAACCTTTAACAACACGTAGCCAATGAAAGGAACAGTTAACACAATGATGGCTGGAGCTCTTGGTAACCATTTTCACCACCAGACAAGAAGTAAACAGAAACGAAACAAGAGTTCACAGTGGTATTGCTTTCCACCACTGAAGACCGCTGCTGAGTAAAGGATGGAGGGATGGAGGTGGATGTTGAACTTTAAATGTTTCTTCTTGACTGGTAAGGAGGGAATAGTGGTAAGGAAGGAGGAGGAGGGTCTTTGCATTTCCTTGTTTCTTATGACAGGGGTGGACACCACAACTTTCTGGTGATATTTTAACCCCTATTTGTCTGGAGTGAATTTAACAGGTTGAATGTTCTTACATATTTTTGGTCAGCATCTGGCCCAAATTAGGCACAGTTGTGTGGTTCACCTTCGGCTGACTTGTGGCCCTGATCTGGTACAGATGTGGCCCACATCTAGCAACTGTGAGTGGTCTGCCCAAGTGCCGTCAATCCATGTGGCAAGTGAAAATGGGGGGTGGGATGTAGGCCAGATCTGGGCCAGAATAATTTTGCCATCTGAAATGAGTCCGGTGCGGATTTGTTTCAGATATGGCCCACATCTTGTGGTCAGCTTCTGGCCCAGGTTAGGTGTCAGCCATTGTTGTGTTTACTGTTGCTTTCATTGGCTACCTGTTAAATGTTCTAACTGGGGGTGGTACCTTTAACATGATTGCCAAGAGGCCAGTAAAACCAGTATTGAAATGGGTGGGAGTACCACTGCTCTGCGTGTACTCTCATGGAGCGAGACGTGACCTCATAACAATGAGAAAACCCATCTGGGACTTCTTAAAGTTTTGGTTCTAAATTGCGCCCCTCTAACCCTGTCCCCAATTCCACTAGTGCTCGGGAATCGATCCTCAAAGAATCGATTTCTCGACTCCAACACATCTGGGAGGCTAATGACTCTGAGAGTCAGAAAGTTTGGAGTTGACTTTGTGTTTTTTCATCGTAACTGGCTTGAGAGGCATTTGATGGAGATGTGCGTGCAGCAGGAGAGAGATTGAGTTTGAGTAGTGGGAGTTTGTTTAATTGACAGCTTTAAACAAGGTCAGCACTGCTCACCGCTGCTGTAAGCAAACTGCTCCCAGAAACGTTTTCAGCATGCCAGCTTCTACACTGCACCACTCTGCACCCTGACTCTGCATTTTTCACAGAATGTTGAAATTGGCCTCTTATTTGCCTGTTGTTTATCTGAAATTTAAATATAACACCACAGTGACAGCCTACGCACCACTAAGGTAAATGCTGCATCATTTAAGGTGGAATGGAAAAGCTGAATGAGCTGGCGAACACAAAGCCAACTTTTTACTCTGCAAAAGAGGAACAGGATAATATCCAACCTCGGTGGAATTAAAACTCTTTTCAAAGAACTGAAAAAGAGCTGCGGTAGTGCAGGGGTTCCCAATCTCAGTCCTGGAGACCCCATGCTCTGAACATACTTTACACAGTTAACCAAGCACAGGGGAGTTTGTTATTTGGTGATTTGTGTTCTAGATACACAAAAATGTGCTTGTGTGGGGTCACCAGAACTTGGATTGGGAACCCAGCTGTAGTGTTCTCCCTGCGCTAACACATCCTGTTCCTCTCAGAAAGGTGTTGTTAATTAGTGCATTACATACCTGCCAACTTAATCCTAAAAGAAATTTGGAGATGATGGAAAATATGTAGAATTTTAAAAAAGCGAGCCAACCTACCCCTCCAAATTTCCCCAACCCTGAGCTCTGAACTCTTCACTTTAGTTATTTAGGCCCTATATAAATATATTTTTCATTTTGTTCTATTCATTACTGTCAATGAGTGTGTGTACATGCACTCAATAATCCAATCATAACTGGATTTCTGCAGTCATCCAATTATTCAAACGGTCATGTAAACACCAAATTCCGATCTAGAAATCCAATTGAGAAATCTGATAAAGAAGCTGGATTTTAGCCCAGTAATCAGATTTCTCAGTGCATGTGAACTCTGATTTCTTTCAGATTTCTCAGTCTGAGCATGTGCGAAACAGACTGTGGAACCAAAAATAAGCAAGCAGTGCTGCCACGAGACGCAGCAAAACACTGCTGGAGCAGCACTGAAACCAAACACAAAATAAAGGATTTGAATATTCTTCATCTCCTAGATGATGTAAGTTCATATTTTCAGGTAAAGTGGTGTGATGTTTAAAAAAAAAAAATTCTCAATAACTAAACAACAAAAAAAAAATCTCAAATGATCTGAAGTCTGTGCATGTATAGTAATTTGTTGTGTGATCGTGCCAATTGCATTAAAGCATTTTGCAATGTCAAACACCCACCACAGTGAATTTTACAGCGTGCCAACACTTTCCAAACGACTGCTCCCCTAGATTTGACTACACAATGTATCAAATTTAACGCAAATTTAAGGGCATTTTTGCATTGAAAATGTACAAAGTTTACATGCTGACTGATTGTGCTCAGCATCTGCACACCAAATCTGCTTCAGGGCAGGTTTAGTTAGAGACTTCAGATCATAAACAGTTCTTGGACTAATCAGGGCAAGATTCTGACCAATGGTGGACCCCTCTAGTGACATGCATGGAGTCAATTAAGTGAAAAAATATTTTTTTTTTTTTAGCAGGGGAAGCAAATCAATAAGCATTGAATTAGCACTAACATGGTGGTACTGCGGTACTTTTTTTTACCATTATAAGCACTTCAACCATAGAATACAGAGAGTTCTTCTTCCTTCTTTGAGAAATAAGCCACTCGACGTCTCCTCATGTTTTACGTGATTGGCTGTTTGTCATAAACGTCACGCTTTTTTGTGCACCAGGATTAATCACAGCCTGAGCTACAACACTAAAACATTCGTCTAGCACAGTGCTCTCCAACCCTGGTCCTGGAGATCTGCCTTCCTGCAGAGTTGAGCTCTAACCTGTATCCAATAAACTGCCCCGCCCATTACTGACTCATATACATCTCATCCAGCCAATCAGGGACTTGGAAGCAGTTGATTAGCTAATGCAGGTGTGGCAAACTGGTTAAACCAGGCTCCGCAGGAAGGTAGCGCTCCAGGACCAGGTTTGGACGGCACTGAGTTTATGACTGTATAACTAATTATTCTGTTTAGATCTTCAGCAGAACCATCTGGGTCTGCTCAAGGACTAAAGCTGAAACCTGTCATCCAGACCACAGTTGCCTGCTCTTTTAACAAAGAGTCAAAACAATGAATCTCGCTCTAACTCGCTTACCTAACCGGCTGTGTCACTGCTGCCACGAAAGGGGTCAAAGTTCCATTCTGCACTTTGTTGACATTGATAGGCTGTTTTCCATCAGCCTTGTTACACAGTTTTAAATCAAATGTTTAATACCTTTTTAAAACGTCAATACAATAAAAATAACATCCACCAATGCACAAAACTAAAGTTATAAAATGTATTGATGTCTATTTTATTCAAAGATGCTGGCTGAAAATCAAACATGGAAAAATTCATGCAAAATTTTAAACCAAGTGGTTTTCATTTTATATATTTTAGTTATTTTATTTGCAGACTTTGGCTGGTTAGTTCATGATCCGTCAATGAACTCAAGCTTACTGACACCACTGTCGGAAAAACAGCCCCAGACCTTGGCATTCCCATCTCCATGCTTAACTGTAGCCAGTCTGGTTGGACATCTTCTCCAGGCTTTCGCCACATAAAGCATCAACCATCAGTTTGATGTTGCACCAAAAGTGGTTTCTTTGAAACAAATATCATTTTGCTAAACATTTAATGAAATAACCTAAAGAAATTAATTGAAGTTTACCAATAATTGAATAGTTAAAGTGTCCGAATACCTTTTGGAGCCACTGTATATGAATGACATGTCTTTTCAGCGTGTCAGACTTACTCAGTTGGATATTTCTGGTTGGTTGATTTTTCTGAATAAGTTCAAATTAGTTTCAAAACTTCTGCATAGTTCACTGGTTGAGAGCAGTTTTATTTACTATCCAAAATGACCAGTGAACCTGCATGTGTCTTCTGAGTTTTTATATTGTCGCCGTCCAAACAAAAACAAGTATGTCCAAAATAGTAACTTTACAGGAGAAGGCAAAAACACTCTTATCTTTCAATGTAAGTCAATGCAAAGAGATCTTTGTCCAAGTGATTTTAGAACATTTCTACTGATCCTTTCGTCATGAAATTTTCACACAACATAAAGGACGGCTGGTGTGTTGGAACGATGTAGAAAAATAAAAATCAACAAAAATAAGGCTACATGGTTTTCTTTGCAGCAACGATATGTAATATTGATTATGGTAAAACAGCAGTAAAACTTGCAAAAAAGTTTTCTTTGCCTCTAAACACCCTGCATGCACCCTTCCACTTTTAAAAACATATTTTAGGTCAATTTTTTATAAAATAGTGCATTCAGCATATCAATGACCACTTTTTGAGGCATTAAACCCTTTAGACATCTGGTTCCTATCACCACCACTGAGCAATTACGACTTTGTAAGTTTCTCTAGAATTTCACACCAAACAACTCTGAATGGCTTTACTTACAAAGTAACCAGAAATTTGGAAAATGGGTGGAATTTCCCTTTAACCTTTTTAATGCGGGGTTCAGGCATCATCCATATCAGCAGGCAATACCTCTAATATATATAAAAAAAACACCTTTTCATAACCTCTAAATGTATTTCTTTACATTTTTTGAGATCTATTTTCAGGTTTTTAGGGATCCGTCCAGCTGAACTAAAGATTCAATTCACCTGGATCCGGGTATCAGGTTTGGTCCGCGTGATTCATTTTAATAGAAGAAGAAGAAGAAGAAGAAGAAGAAGAAAAATCCTAACAAAAGCAATAAGTCTCCAGCACCTCTGGTGCTTGGACCCCTAATAATACACGCAGGTCAGTTTAACAGAATAAAAGAGACCTTTTCTCACTCACCTGTGCTGAGGCTCTGCAGGCTGGGATCTGCAAGCTTATCAAAAAGCCTGATCTCTTTGATGTTCTCCTCCTTCTCCAGCAGAACGTTCAGGAGGTGCTGACCAAGGAACCCACATCCTCCTGTTATAACGTAGACCAGCTTTTCAGGGGCCATGGTGAAGCCTCGTCCTCTGCGTCTGTTGACTAATTAAGCCGCTGTGCGGATCAGGAAAAGAGCTTTAGTGGTGATCAGCGCTCCTCTGCTCCAAAACAGACCTCTGAGCGACTCCTTTCTGCTCTGCCCTGTAGAGAGGAATGAAGCGAGTGAGCGGAGCGGCTTCTGTAATATACTGTGGGAGGGGAAGGGAAGGAGGAGGGGAAGGGAAGGAGGAGGGGCGGAGGGCGCAGAGTCAGTCACGTTCAAGTTTGGCGTTATGAAGTCAACAGTTGAGCGGTAATTCAGGAAAAGGAGAAGCCCTGATTGACGGTTATGTCGCTCGGTCAGAAACCGCTATTCTTTATTTTTATACAGCAGTTAGTTCCGCCCACGCGAGCTGTGCGGCGAGTTTGTTACTCTGGGTCAGAAACAAGCTGCTTGTTAAGGAACTATAATCTGGCGGAAGGAACTGCCATTCCATTCTCTC